CCCTCCTGGAGGACGGCAAGCGGCTGTTGCTCACCTCCTGCTCCTGTTCTCGGTCTGCTCCAGGTGCTCACCTGCCCCCAGAGTTACATCAAAGCAGCCCTAAGCAATACAACTTCAGTGCGAAATACTGCACACCCAAAGAGAGACCTCTCCTCTCCAAACGGTACTCATGCAACAACCTTATGAAGAAAATGCAATCAAATAATAGAACTTGTAAAACAAAAGAAACCACAAATATAATCTCATGTCTAAAGGAGGATGACAGTGAATGGTGTAAAAAAAAAAAAAACCGACAGAGCTGCCACCAGGTATGCAATACATTCCACAGCACCGACAGTTTGTTTCTGGGAACCGCATGTAAATAGCGGAGCGCTTACAAACCCATGAATGTCAAAACGCATCAGCTTGAGGGATTCCAAAATGCCTGTTAGCGAGACGACTGGCAAAAGCGTACTCAGTGATCTGGGTTTCCAGTGAATATTACTAACACAACACACGCCAGGTTACAGAATCTATTGCTTAAATTGCTCTCGAAGAAAAAAAAAAAAAAATGCCAAGTGATATGTAAATCTTCGCCACTCACGTCTCACGGGTGAATGGGCTTTTAAAGTTGAGTCTCTTTTTGCACTATTTTTTTAAATCAGTTTATGAGCAGCTGTAGTCTTGTGGCTTGATGCAACTCTTTAAGGCTCCATGCTGACAAAATTATTTGAGGAACAATAAAAACTTCACCACAGGAGGATCGCTCTGGGATGTCAAGGTTTAAACGCGTGGTTCAGGCCCAGGACTTGCACAGATGGTTCAACAAACCGAGCGTCCCATATTTCTACCTTTTGTCTCTTGTTTTGGCCCTGAGCTGTTTGTTACTCCTGCGTGTCTGGCACAAGTTCAGAGTCTTCCTTGTTCCTCAGGAGGAACAAGGTGTTTTACTCTTCACAGAGGCTGACGAACCGATCTTCCTACTTCCATGCTAAGTGGCTGTGCATTTTTTTCTGTTTCTAGTAACTCATCGAAGATATCCCTAGAACAGAGGGAAAGACCAATGGTGAAACTTAGGTAATCCACAAAGTCAAGCGTCACGGATCCTGGCAGAGAAAGGCATCTTATCTGGCATCTCTAAGCAAGGCTTCTTGAATCCCACAGCTTTTTTTTTTTTTTTTTTTTTTTCATTTTTTACAATGAGTAAGGTCAGTGGTAAGCCTCAGAGAACAGCAACAATAGTGAAAATAACTCCTGGCTGGTAAAAGGATCAGAAGCAACACAGGACAGTCTGTGGATGAAGTAACACCCTTTATTAGAGCAACCAGTAAAGACAGAAGAAGGGACAAACTGAGGCACAAAGCCCCTTCTTCAGTTCCGTTTGCCTGAAAAGGTATCATTTCTACCTACAAACCTCATCTTGCCTGTGTCCCGAGATGACCACGGCTGCAACAACGCAACCGCTAGGAGCAGGGATAAGGGCATTTACAACCATCACAGCACTTAAGGAAAAACCCAAGCTCCATTATGATTCCTGAAGCAACGAACGCATAGCTGAGACAGTGAATCCCCTTCTTAAAAGATGATTTAATGCATCTTGTTAAAACGCTATGTATTGGTGATGTGCAATTCCACGCCTCTGGACTCAGAGCACTTCAATTTTGTCATTCTTCCATGTAATTCTGACTACGATTTCTTCCGACAAATACATGGAAATACTTATCATTCCAGCAAAGAGGACTAGAGGGAGACGAGAAACCCGCTTCCTCACAAACAGGAGCACCAAAATTCCCCAAGACACCTACTTGTGCATATAGAAGAAGATGTAGCCGCTTCGGTCTCTGTCACACTGAACGGTGGCCTCTAGAGTTCTAGACACTTCCAGGTCATTGTAGGTGAACCAGGACTGTTTCTTGATATCATAGACATCACTGATATAATGACCTTAAAAAAACAGAGAATGCACCTTTCTTTTCATGCTGCAGTTCAACCAGTAAGCTGGTTAGGTAGATACTCTGGTCCAGCAGCCTGTGTCAGATTTAAATGCTAAGACCCATAAGATCCTGGTCGCTCCATCCTTCCTGGTCAACGAGCTGGTAACAAGCACAAGCAATTCCATGGACCCCGTAAGCAGGACTTTGTCCCCATGCCGCAGTTAGGCACCGTGACATCCTCAGCCTGCTCCCCTACCAGCAAGGCACAATGGAAGACTTGCTTTGCTGCCTGAATTCTTCTCTGCAAATAATCCTGCTACAGTAATTCTGCATCACAGATTTTTAAGCTAGATAAGAGATGAAGAATAAAATACGGTATGTTTTACCTGAAGATGATGTGCTTCCGATATGGCTGACGATGCTGATGAGGCGATAGGAGTGAGGAAGCTCTCCTGTCTGAAAATAAAGACCAATTAAAGCTTTTAGGCATTCACTTTTGTCCCATGTAGCTTACGGACAAGATGATTTATACACCTGAGATACGGGCTTTGGCTACCGTATTCGAAGCTGCAACCCAATCAAAGATTACAGAAACAAGACTGGTTCAGGCCAAACAAGGAGAGCTTCCAGAATTGGGAAAAAGCCTCCCATCTTATTTAATCTTTCAGCAAGCCAATGGTTGTGCAAAGGCGCCAGTCTGACCTCAGAACAGATGCTGACATGAGCTCTACACTGCAAACTTTTCTAAACAACCATTTCCTGAGCGACTTCCACTGATGTCAGAATTAATCCACCAAATAAACAGAGAAAGGCAAAAAGGGAACACCACGCTTACTTCCGAAATATCAAAGAATTACCCTTGATAATGGTATACAGATTTAACAGTTAACGTTGGCTATGTAGCCCAAATTCTCTCGTCCTGCACCTGTAATGTCAGCAGACAAGGCCCTCTTTGCATGCAGGAAACATGCTCTGTCTGTTCACTGACAATAAAACTGAACAATGGTAATTGGCTTTTGACAATTATTGTTTAATCCTCTCTGGCCAGGAAATGTTATTGGTACAATTCACTGACAATACTCTTAAAGTGAAATTCTTGGTTAAGGAAATTGGTAAAGAATTGTAAGAAAATAAAACTGCTCAAGGACGCTCCAATTACTTAATCTTTTCCACTCTACACAGTATTCCTTCCACTGAGGCAGGCAGGCAACTTTCACAACGTGGCTGTGTGGAGTCCGAGAGCGCTAGCAGCTGGCAGCTCAGCCTAGGTTACAGTTACATTTCACCTAACGGGAATAAGATCTTGCCACAACTTCTCAGTTCTGGTGGTGCCGGATCTAGAAGCCCACGGCGTTGCAACTAAACCACCACACTGGCTGAAGTCCTCTCTCTCTACAAGCAAAAATTTCAGGCCCATTGCTTTACGTGCACTGAAACATTTCTGGTATAAAATTACTGTTTCCTTTTCACGACTATCCGCATCTTACACAAACTCAGAAGGTCTCTGCAGCTGTTTTGTTTTGTTGTTTGCTTTGTTTTCTTTAAATTAAAACAACACAATAGGACAGACTTAAAAGGACAGACATTTTCTATCTTTTCCCTTTCGAACATACAAGACCTTTCTAAGACTAAACAAGTACATCTGCTCTGTAAAACTCCCTCCAACACTAAACTGATGGTAAGGAGAGGGTGTATTTCTCAGTTAGCTTTTGAAATCATGGATCACACCTCAGCATTTCTCTTCAGCTCTTCTGCTTCAGCTTCTGAATACTCCATGTCAAGAACATCCTCATTCCCAGAGTCTTCATCAGAACCAACGCTGTCCAGGAGAGAGCTGTTAAACTCTAGATAGCACGGAAACAACGACACCGTGTGAGAAGCCGTGGCACGCACAGGAATCCACAACAGGTTGAGCTATACCTACCCACATAAACATCACAATAAAATGCTAACATTTCAAGCTTCCTTTCCAAGGAAAGCAGGAGATACTGAAATTTCCAAATAAAAACTCTCTCTCCCTTCCCCGGCTCGTCAAAGCAATAATTAAGAAAAATATCTTGGACTACAGAATTAACTTTAGCATCATCTCTTTCTCATACTTCTACAAAAGGGCACTATGGCAATGACAGCTGGGTGATAAAAGAGCAGCTAAACACCCAGTTCGCTCCAGAGTGCTGGTGGGTCTGCAGCCAGAACCAACATTAAAAGAAGTACAGCCAGTCTGGTCAGTGAACTGTAAGTTTCTGCAACAAGAAGCTATGAATTACAGTTTTAACTATAAATTGCATTAACAAAGTGCATTTTTCAATTAAAACTGGCATCAAAACACTACTGCTGGCAGCAGGCATCTTTTCATTGTTTTCAATGGTAAGAAGGCTGCTCACCGCAGGAACTTCCAGTTTGCTTGGCTGAGCAAAATGCAGGCAGCTTTCTGTAAAGAGCCGGAAGGCACCACTGCTCCCTGTACATGCTGTTCCAAACTTCCTGGGATTCTGCAGCTACCCGACTAATTTAAGATTTTGTACAGTACTCTTAGGAGAAGTAGCTATGCTTTCACCAGCTAAATTAAAGCTATGAAGTCATGGGTGGATAAGAAGTTGAGATTAACAGGACACTGCTCAGGATACACATATATTCTTTTTTTCTTAAAGACACTATCACATCGGTTATGATGGAGATGTTTTGCAAAAGAGATTCTCACACTGCTTGCCCTATTAAACCATCAGACATCAGATTAGTATAATCTTCTTGGGAAGTTTACAGATGACTCCCTTTAACTGAGAATATTTTACTGCTGGTTTCCACACTTATTCGGGCTGTTGTAAGCTAGACTACAGCCAAGAAACGCAGCCTCTTAGGTAGGTCTCTGCATGAAGCACTTGCCACGGGTATTGCTAAATGCCACTTCACCAACGGTCCTCGGGTGACTAGCGGTTCTTTGGTTGCAGCACCACTGGGAACCTTTCTAAGACAAATACTACCAGATATATGCTGAAGATTATTAGCATCTCCTTGAACAACTGCTGGTTGACGCCTTATAAATGACACGGTAGCAAGTCAAGAAGCACAAGGCAATGCTCACGTTTAAGTCAAGCAACTGCACATCGGGAGAAGGAAGGATTTCTAGTGCTGAACTTTTCCCGGCCAAAAAATCAAAGAAGACCTGAGAGGGACTGGGCACTCAGGCTGCCAGAGCTCATCAGGGGACTGGACTCAGGCTGAGGGACATTTAAGCAGCATTCAACTTCTCTTCAGCAGCAGGCACAGGTCCATCCAGTAATACCTGAGGGCCTTTAAAGGTGTCTGAGCAACTATGAGTATCTTAACACAATAGTTCCTTACCCCTCCCTCTTCCTCATTGGAGCAGGAATTTTCTCTTGGTTATGCTTTGCTCTGCCAGATTGTATGAAATCACTCGCATGCCAGCCTCACACAAATGTTAAACAGTGCCTGAGGCTCACCACACTGTGTGGATTTGGAAAAGACAGATAGTGTATTTTGGGTTTCTTTTTTTCACCCCCAACAGCTATACCTTGCAGTGAGGTCTGTCTCCCTCCTACCCTGTATCAGATAGAGCACTTATTCATTTTCCTGGGCGAGGCCAGTGCATTCATTAATTAGCGCTAAAATATCAATGCAAGTAAGAAATAACCCTTACGTTCTGACTAGAGCCATTAGCATGCTGGCTTTTGCTGGGAATGCAAAATTTCAAGGTCCATCTTGCTCTCTCTGTATCAATGTTATATACTAAGTGTATATTATAATTTAATATATATCACCCCCCCCCTCATTAAGAACTCAAGAGAATGAAATAAGTTGTTTTTCACATTAAGTTTTTCCTGACTTTTGCTTTCACAACCAAGGGCAAGAAAAGCTGACCTGAGCAAAGCCAAACACAACAAAGCATACACCAAAAGAACATGAAATCCCAGCTGTCTTACAGACACTCAGGAGCTGCACTCATACATACAGATCTATTTTCCCTCAAAAGCAACATCCTGGAAGAAGTTAAATAAGTTTCACCTTGTAGACTTAATTCCGTGGCTCGTTTAAGGTCATCATCCTCTTTTTGTTCTCGCGCCTCCTGATGGGAAGAGAACAAAACTTAGCTCATTGAGACACTTCACTGTTTAAAATTCTTGTGGTGCTCTTTTTCCATTGAAACTGTGCTGCTCTGGTTTCTACAACAAACCTGACATTGTAAATTAAAGGTTCTGTGTGAAGGAATGTTTGCAACCAGCGAGAGTCCAATGTTCCTGTGCAACAGAACCTGGGACAAACCTTCATTAAGGCTCGTCAAAGCTCCTGAAGTTTGGTATGCAGCAGAGCGAGTCTCTAGTAGCACCAAATGCTTTCTCTGGATCATTAATTTGAAAAGCATCTGAATGAATTTGCAACCCTTTGCTAAGGAAAGCTGTCACTTACACACAAAGCTCCTCACACTTCGGCAAAATTTAGACTTCTTCTGCCCAAAGCCAGCTGAGGACCGAGTCGTTAAATCCTGACAGATTTTATTATTTTTAAGCCATTTGAAAGTACAGCCAGTGGTTCTATGTAACAGGTGTAATTCACAAAGGCTGGATGCAAAAAAAGACACCACTAAACAACCAGGTATTAAAAATACTACCATGAACAAGTAGCAAAGAAACCTCAACTCAACAAACCCTTCTAATCTTTGGATAATATCATGCCCCTGTTCCTCCCACCATTCTTGAAAGCTCAGAGCTACAGCAAGCCAGTCAATAATACTTAATGAGCTGGCTTCTTAATTCAGGGTATGAATGCTTTCAGTGCACCTGAACGCAGAACCCTAACTACGTATTTCAAATCAAGATAACCACAGCTACCGCATTTCCATGCCTGAATCATTAGAATAGCAGATTTTCGCTTCAGAACTGGAGCAGAACAACACTCAAAGGGCAGTTTTACATTATTAGCATGAGGCCTTTTATCTCACTATTTCTAAAGCATTTGGGAATCTTTGTTAAACTACTCAGCATCGCTGAATCAAAGCTACATCTGGCATGGAACATACCAACCAGCACCTCATAATGAGTAATGGGAAAGAAAAATCCAAGAGCCATGGAAACATCAGATCTCATAAGGAAAAGCATGACAGCTTTAGTATTAATAGAGAACAGACAAGGGCACCTATTTAAAGAAAGACCTGGCTAAGCGCTTGCTTCACTCTCAGTGGCTTCGTTAAACTTGTGGAAATCAGTTACAGGTCTTGAAATTCAAGTGGAATACAGATGGTTAGCACACAACCCGAGATCCCAATCCTTTCCAAGTCTACTTTAAAGGACTTCCTTTAGACTAAATTATTTGGGATCCTGTTTCCAATTTACTAACAGGGAAGGATCACATAAATGCTCAGTTCCTATATTCTTCACTAGGCATCCCCTACTTGCTAGTACCAGAAACAAGGCACTGGGACAGACAGATCTTTAGCCGGACCTGGCATGGCTGTTCTTAGCCTTTGCTTTGAAACCTTCCTCTTTCACTTTGAGTCTTGACACTACACGCTGCAAGAAGCAACTGCCAGGGAAGCTAAAGGTGGGCTTGGTTCTTGGTGACAGATAGTACGAGTTTAGTTCAGTTTATCATCGCTTTTATAAAATGTTACAAGCCCGTGTATAACTGTGCACAGAAAGCTTTGAGAAATCTGCAGGTCTGTGATGCGATATATGGTTTCCAAAGCACATACAAAACGTGCCAGATGTATCCAGTGCTGTCACTCTGACACTGGAGCGAGAAGAAACCCAAACCTTTTTTCATCTGGTTCTCTCAAAACACCAGCAGAATCCCTTTGCAGTTACTGCCTGAACACAAGCTTTTCCTTTAGCCATCAGGTTTCCAGTGTCGGGGAAGATAACTCAAGGAAGCAAACTTCATTCCTTACTTGCTCTTGAAGGCTTTGAGCCAGTGCCTGCTGAAGTTCTTGTTCTTCCCTCTCTCTCTCCATATCGTACTGCTGCAGCCAGTCAACCTCCCCCTGGGAGCCTTCCGGAGTTTTGTTTTCCTTATTCTCATCAAAATCTTTAGTTATCTCGGTGAAATTGGCAGGACCTGAGGAATCAGAAAGTACAGTTACGCTTTCCCAGGTCTTCTGTTTGTTACCAGCTAAATCCTCTTTAAATCACCACAATCCTTGCAGCACAGTGACATCTATTGACAGGGAGAGCTCACCAGCCACAAAAAAAACACACAAGAGTCAAATGGAAAAAGCTCCAAAGTGCAGTCTTTATACTTATTTTATCAGGTGTAAGATGAACCATTTGATTAATCCCTGAACCTGTTCTCTTCTTAGCCTTTTATGTTGACTCACAAACAGCAACTTTAGCTAAAGTAAGATGTCACACACAAGTAGGTTTCTGCAGCCATGAAGCTGACACTTGAATTCCTCTAGAAGGAAGCATGGATTATAAAAATTTGCATTGCATATTATACCTCAGAGTACTACAGACGAAGCCACAATTAAAGCCAAATCATATGTAAGATGGAGGGAAGCACAAATCTCAAGCACTGTTTAAATGGGTCAAATTTTTGCTTCAGGTGAGAGCCTCAATCTTGTGAGCACTATCTACAGCTTTAAAAGTGCAAGAAGATTATAACTTTTCAGTTCACCTTTAAAGCGAACACTACGGCAGAAGTATTTTACCACACTTCTGGCGTGAACATTCATTCAACCACTGCATACAACTCCTGCAGTTGCAGGACACTTTGATTCTGCGATTTGCTTGCAGCTGAGAAAGAGTCAGGACCTGCTCCAACAGCTATCACGAAGCAACATGTGAAACTTTATAGTTTTGCCCTATGCAGACTTCAACATCTGCTCATTAGTTATTAGCAAGGATTACACAAGGCAGCCTCAGTATCTGTGACCTCTTAAACACAAGACCACCAGAACCAGAACTGTAATCCATCAGTCTAATCCTCTTAAGATGAAAAACAAAACAGAATTTATTACATGACCTCTGAAAACTTCCAATGTAAGAAGAAATACTCACTCCACTCACACAACTGTTATTTGAGGATCACGCAGCAGAAAAGACATCTGTCATATCTAAATTAGCCTTTTTTGAAAGCACCACAAATTATTCAGTGTTTACAAAAGAAATTATTACTAGAGGTAAGAAGAAAGGGACCAAGTTAAATCCGTCATGTTTAGAATCATCTTGTGTGATATAGCAAAGCACCCTTTGCAATTAAGTTTCCTTTAAATAGAACATAGGATTGTGAACTCAGGGCGTGTTATATTCAGCTGCCATAACTGGTAACTCAACATACACACGTATCTCATCTGAATGCCAAACTGAATGCTTTGAGTAGTACTTGTGTTTTTTTCATCATACAGAGTCAGACACAGAAAGCTGAATGCAATGTTGAGTGCTTAACTGCATTCTTAATCAGAAAATACAGAAACTTTTATTAAATGCATACTTTTTGCTTAAGTGTCACAATAGAGCCTGCAAATAATTACACTATGCTTTCCAGAGGAAACCTGGAGAGAGATACATTTACGTGGCCACGCTCTCACAACTCTCTCTCGCACAACCATAAGCAACATTAGTGTATATAAAGGAGGGCACAAACAAGGCTGACCACACACTTAGTTTTCTTATACACTGCCTTCTAACATTAAAGCTGTCAAGAGCTGTCCACTGAAACAAGTGTGATTTTTGGTAATAGAATGGGGTTTTTTGTTGTTAATATTTAACCTCCTGGATCTTAGAGGAAAAGGAGAGCATATTTTTGGCCTGGTTTTCCAGGCTAGTGGAATTAAAAATCTGACCGAAAGCATGTAGCACACAACAAATGCTAAACACTGACATTTCCTTCAGCCAACTAAAGGACGACACTCAATTTCCCCACACTGAGATCAAACAGGCTCCTTCTTGTACTTAACTGTGTTTCTGTGTCAGAGGCCATAATTCACATGCTGAGTCTCTTATGCTCTCACATAAAAAGTATTAGAAAAATTACACAGATAGAGCTAAATTCATTAGTAACTAGTGACAAAATAACTGCATTTATGAAAGCATTCCAGACTCGTGCACCCCAGACATCACTCTCGCACAACAGCAATGTGAACACTGCTACCGTGCTGCCCAGACTGCAACAGCTACAGAAATGAAACCACTTTCTGATTATGGAAGATTAAGTTCCAGACCCTGCCAAATCTTAGTAAATTGAATTGTCTGGTACGGGAATCAGCAGAAGCATGTGTTAATCAGGAGAGAAAAAAAATGGAAATTAACTCTGAAGATGACCTTACCTTTGTCAGAGAGGTGACAGACATACAAGAAAATACATTTTCACAGTTCAATGAATTAAATGCTTTATACACAGGGAAACTGTAAGAAAACTCTGAGGAAGTCGGGCAGTTTCAGCAGCGCACTTGCATCCAGATTCTGCCACCATACATTACTGACCTGCTGCTATCAGTAACCCGCTTCAGCTTGCCGTAGTCCAATTAAGATGGTTACTCCACCTTACCTGAGTCTAACGCTGCTTTGGGTTTCTCCATCTCCATAGATTCCAGGTTTTCCGGCAATTCCTGAATTTCATCGTCTCCAAAACCAGTGTCTGGGCTGCTTGTGGGCTTATCTTCATCATGGCTCAGAGACAGGGAAGCTTCCCTTTTGCTAATCTCTAAGACGGCTGCTAGCAGCTCATCTTCACTCATCCCATCAAAACCAGCATTACCCAGCTCAGGTTTATCACCCTCCATTTTACTTCTTTTTGAACCCTAGAGATGAATGGAGTTATGATTAAGTGCTTGAATAAACAGGTATATAACATCAGCTTTACATTTCTGTGGAGGTTTTTTTTTTTCTTTTAATTTTATTAACCCCAGGGGTGGGAGCTTGGCTCTGCCAACATTAAACAGATAGTTATATGAGACTCAATGGAGAGACAACACCAGCATTACCCAGCTCAGGTTTATCACCCTCCATTTTACTTCTTTTTGAACCCTAGAGATGAATGGAGTTATGATTAAGTGCTTGAATAAACAGGTATATAACATCAGCTTTACATTTCTGTGGAGGTTTTTTTTTTTCCTTTAATTTTATTAACCCCAGGGAGTGGGAGCTTGGCTCTGCCAACATTAAACAGATAGTTATATGAGACTCAATGGAGAGACAACCTTTGTAGCTACATTCACTCCAAGGAATAATATTTAAATATAAATTACAACCAGTTTTTACAGGCTCTGTGGATTAACATACACAAGATAAGTCTTCCCTTCTCCCTCCTTTCTTTCAACACATGTGTTCCACCTTTAGTTTCTGATGAATCCTCAAGCCTCTGGCAAGTCAGTGCCAAGGCACAAGCAGCGAAATTGTAAGTTTGTTAACAAAGGCTGAAGCAGCAACATGAGATTAGTTGAATTTGAACACAGGGATACAAGAATAGGAACTGAAATCAGGCTGGTATGAAGAGCAATTAAAATTAGGTTTGGTGCTGCAGACTTGCCATACAAAATCTTGGGCACGGGGGCAGGACTCCGCAAACCGAGTAAGAAAAACAGTTAACCAGGGAAAGGGGGCAATTATTCTTTCCTAAGGAGAACATAATAACTTTAAATTGGAAAAAAGGAAAAACACTTTAGTCTTAATCTGAATTTTTCCTTTTTTAGTTATTTTCCTAAAACTGACACTCATCAACTCCTACACCATACTGATTTGCAAATAATATAGTAATTTCAGTTGTTTTGATATTAACTGTTAATCAGGAGGTTAACCTCCATGTATATATATTTACACAATTACACTACTTACCATATGCTTAGAATTTTTTTTCCCCTATATTATGTTAAAAATGGGAAAAAATAGTTTCTATCAGAATGTAGTTATCCAGGTCTTATTCCAAACTGCATTTGGATGGATCTCAGAACGTTGTTAAAATAAACAAAAACACATTTTTACTGCTGCTTTTTAGTTAAATACAACAAGCTTTTGATGACCAAGACTAGTCTTATAGAGCAAACATTTTGTATTAAAACTGGCTTATCAAACAAGATTAGCAAATGAATTAGCCAACTAAATTGCTTGTTCTAGACATCATGCCCTCCAAGAATTAGAACTGACAAATTTAAACCTCTCTCCTCACATCTATTCATGCACTGAATAAGGAAAGCAGAGTACCTGCTTTTTAACCTTTCTGATTTCTCTCTCTGCACCTGTAGGCTACTAATGCCAAAACTGGTTTAGCTCTTCAGCAAACCCCAGTTCCAGGCACTTTGCCAACAACTACCACTAATTCAGTGGCTGGACTTTAAAGACTTGGCAGCATCTGTGCACTATTTGAATACAACTGTTCTATGAGAAATTATTTGCATAGATTTTAAGTAGCTTAGGCTCTAAGACAGGCTGCTTTAAATAAATATTTTTAAAACGTACTTCAAATACTACTTCATCTGCAGAGGCAGAAATCACAGAAATTGCAGTTCGGCCCACCTTACCTGGATAACTGCTATTTGCCCCTACAACCCAATGTTGTGTACACCCGTTGTTCCAGCTGTTGTCCCACACAGCAGGACTGTTTTGCAAGCAGTGCCCCGTAGGGGATATACCAGCCGTAGGAAGCGACTGCCAAGCCCCTGATGCAACCCCATCCACAGCTGCTATGAGAAGCACACCAAGGGAAATGGTGCAGCGGCAGTAATGCCACTCTGCCAAGGACCAGGACCAGGACTAGGTCCTCCCAGGAAAACACTGAGAAGGACAGGATCTGGTTAATGATAACTGATGGCCGGTCAGGCCTGTGGCTGAGGAATGGCCAACGTGCATGGCCACAAAGAATGAAGTCACTTTGTGGAATCATCACCACCACTGTCTCTTTCCCACAGCAGGCTGGAAAGCCTATAATTAATTTGCTATTCAAATTAATAGGCTTTATTCCCACAATTTCTGCCCTCACAGGGTTTGTGCGATAGAGACTACCTACACTCCCTCACAAACAAAATTCGAGGAAGAATCATTTAGGACAGTTTGGAATACTTTTTCTAAACGTAAGACGGACTTCAAAGACAAACTAGTTTCCTTCCCCCACCCACAGCCAGTTCTGTGCCATGCAGGACAGCAGTAGCCTACCCTGCTCCTGAGACCTTCAGCAAAGGGTTTTCTCCTTTCTCCCAAAGCATTCTGTTCCATCCCTACACATCCTGAGCATCAGGAAGTTTTCCCTAATATTTAATCTAAAAATTATTTTCTGCAATTTAGTCTATTACTTCTTGTTCTATCCACCACAGGCATGGGAAAGAGCTCAAGTGTTTCTATTAATTTCTTTCCCTTCCTTGAAGACACAGGCCCTGCTTGGGTTTCTCGTTAAACTAAAGACCCAAGTTCACTTGTCTGCTCTTTCCCCCAAAATCTTCCTTTCTAGACCTCCGACCATTCATGTTCGTCTCCTCTGGCCCCTCTCCAATTAATCTATAACTCTTTTCAGTCCGGAGTCCAAAGCTGGATACAGAACTCCACCTAAAGCTCAATGCTGAGGAAAAAGGAGGGTTACTTCACACAACCTGCAGGCTATGCCTCTTGTCTATACGCTTTTGTTTTCAACCAGCCTGACCTTGCGACCGACTGTCACCTTTCACGCCCTTTCTGAAGGCCCACTGCTTTCCCAGCTCTTCCCAACCTGCATTTACAGTCAATTAGTCCTGCTAAGATTAGCACCTTTCACCTGTTCCTACTAAACAACGCCTCTTATTTTCATGCACTTTCTCAGACTTGTCAAGATCATTCTTAACTGTAGTTCTGAGCTTCATCATACTGGCAGCCCTTCCCAGCTCTGGGTCTTCTGAAAAATAATACTCATTATCTATTTTATCATTTATTAAATACTGAGTGGATCAGGATCCTCCCCTGGTTTGATCTTCCCATCAGATCAGAAACTGTAGATATCTTCCTCTTGTTACCTGTTGCTATTCAGCCAGCTTTACACCTGTCCTTTAATGCCATAATCAAGACCACAAGTCTCTGTTTGATTAAAATAACCCCATGAACATTGTCAACAACTTTAGAGAAGTAGAGATGCAGGACACTTATCCTAAGCACTAGGTCTGCAACACTCTTAACAGAAGAAAGTGGTACTGCAAGATAATCCTTTAAGCTGCTTGTTTTCCCTTCTGGGTCATCATTCCTTCCCACACAACTCATCTACCTGCTAATACACTGCCCTGATAGAGGCAAAAGATACCTTGGCAACATTAATACTAGTCACAATAAAGAGCTCAAAGCCAATTTGAAGTTAACTGCGCCTTTACACCATTGAACTTGATCTCTACACACTTCTACGTGTCCACCTCCAAAGACTGATAGCTTCAGTTTCTAAAAGCATTTAAAAAGCCACACTTGAAAGAGGACGCAGATTGGATGTGCAAGAAGTTCTCTCAATTGAGTATTTTGCTTAGCCTGACTTGTACTGGATCTAATTTAATCAAGGGCTTTACTGCATAATTTTATTATTGACAGCCCATTATATTTCAGCCTGGGAACGTGATTAGTGAAAGTTACCCAAAGGACTCACAAAACTGCTAAGCAGCTGGTATACATGACCTGAAAACTCAAGTGCAGTTGCAGCGCAATTACCTCTGTTCCCAGTGGGAACCCAAGACAACTGTACAGAGAGATCAATTAGCAAAGCACTTCCTTCCAGCCCTCCAGTGCTAATTAGGAGGGAAAAAAAAAAAAGCACACCACACTTATCTTACATCCATTTTACTCACAGTCTATGCTAAGAAAAGCACAGGCCAGACATGAGCACATATAGGATCTATGTATATGGAAGTTGGTGGTTTTTTTCCCCCTTACCTTTTCTGGCTCTTCTTGCAGTTGTTGCTGATCTCTACCCTGTATGTTACACAACCTCTGGCTATGGGCAACAGAGCGTTTCAACGGCTCGTCATCGCTGTCAGAATCTGCATAGAGTGCTGCAGAGCTCTTTGACTTGAAAGTGTATTTTCTGTAAATTAAAAAAACATGGCTATAAAACTTTATAGTGCTGTAGCTTTGTACAAATCTCTTTCGAAGTAACCGTTAAAGAAGTGTTACACCCAACTTTCACATCGCGGGGCAGTACAATTTGGGGAACAAATTGCAACGACTGACAACAACAATTTATTAACACAGCAGGCAGGGATTTCAGAAAAGGTATATTTTACTAGGTTAACTGACATACCTACTTCAAGCCTGCAATAGCAATTTACAACATTTAAAGTTACTAAGTGTGTGGCTCTTGCTTCCAAGGCCAAGGATTCTGCACTTTACTACCTAGCACTCCCAGACAGTACTCATTTGAGTCAAGCCCACAGTAACATGTGGAACTCAGCACAAACCATTTGACTTGGGACGTTTACTAAGCTGGATACAGGACTTCCCACAACATCACTAGGATATAAAAAGCACAAATCTGCACAAGTTTTTCAGTTTTCCTGTTTACTCTTTCATTAAGATAAATTCTTGGTTCTTTAGAACAGAACACAAGGGAGTCTGGGGAAGTCGCGATTTCTGCTCAATTAGGAAATCTGGTCTTTAAGTATTCCACAATGCAAAACTATCCAGTGTGGTATCATATTTTTCACTATATCAAAAACTGGCCTTTCAAAACAACCTGAAACCAACGCTCCCTCATCTTTGCAAATAAACTTCAGGAACTAACCGCCTATTCCCAAAACACACAATGGGGCTCCATAGAGCCAGAAGAGAGAAAAGAGCTAGACTGCGGAACTAGAAAGCATCTTGCTTCTTATATATGTGACTTGCAACTACAAATGCAAGCTACTTCAAGGTATCTGGCACTGACAAATCATCTGTACGAACTAAATTCAGTTCTCATTCTGATGCTCAGCCTTCTGTCTGGAAAAAAAAAAAATTATCTTTGCTTACTTACAAGTCCCTAAAGGTGCTCAAAAGAAATGCTAAGGCGATCACGCCAAGTAGGCAAATTGTACCATCAATATTAATTTCAGCTAGCATGTAACACCAGTAAAACTCAGATATGAAAAAAGACAGTAGCTGAAATAATTTACTACAATAGAAAAAATAGAAAAAAATAGAAAGGAAAGAAAACAAATAGAAAACGGGGAAAGATTGAAGAAGAAGAATTAGAAAATTTTAAAATGCCTTAAAAATTATCCCATGAAACCTCAGGCCATGGGCATTTCAGAGCTATAACTCACCTACAAGGTGTGGAAGTGCTTATAGTACAGGAATTCACCATTTGGGAGGCTTTCAATGGACGGGAACTATTAAAAAAGCAAAGTATTTATTGCAGCGGTTACAGTCTTAAAAAATAAGTGTTTACTTGTCTGCTATGCATGCAAATCCATGACCAAAGAAACAAGTAGAATACCATTATGTACTTGCTAATTGCTTAGAGTAATAACTCCATCATGCTATAAATATACAACAGTTGTTCAAAACCATATATAATCCTTTAAACTTGATTCACTTCTTAGTGATGCACCCCTAGGGACAAGCTCACAAATTAAAGGCTTTGGGCTCCCATGTCAAGACAACTCATTCCTTTATTTTTTATTCCCACCAATACTTGAGTTCCTGCTCCCAAACCACAGTCTCCTGCTGCGTCTGGATCAGCCAGTTTTCTGGCATGTCCCATGTCTCCATTTCTCCTCCCTTACCTAGATTCTTCTAAATCAACTTCCTGCTCCATTTAATCCTTTCACAGGCTCCTCAAAGTCCATCACTATCACTACACATCTACCCACCAGGCAGCTGCCGATGCAGAAATCTTTTCTAATCTTCCCCCATCAAGCAGGGCTGCTTCTCTCCAGCCTAGTTACCCTTCCACTCTCCAGTCAATCAGAATGGTTTCAATGACTAAAAAAAGCCATTGAAAAGCTATTTCAAACATATTTTCAAGTATTTCTGCTCTGGTTAGCTTAAGCTGTTTGTTGTGTTTAAGATTTCTATTGTTAAAGCAAACGCTTGGGAAACAACCACATAAATCTCAAACGCCGCTGAACATTCAGCACAAGAACACATGCCACGCTGCTGAACATACACACCAGATGTGTCCTAACTCAATACAGCCACCGCCGTTATGCCACTAGGCAGGGACCGCAAGATGTACAGCTGCTTGTCCTGAGACACAGGGGTTAAATGTGCCACCTGAGGGTTCCTTGTTCCTTATTCTGCCACAGACTTCCTATGTGACAACAGGCACATTTAACCTCTGTGTCTCAGGACAAGCAGGCTGTACGGAAATAACTGTCACAGGGAAAAGGAGAGAGTGTTTTCAGCATGTGAAGTGCTCAGATACTACAGTGGCACAGGAAAGACAATGAGAAATGAATGATAGCACAGGAGGTGCAAGTGGAAATCACCAGGAAAAGCTGGGATGTTATGTCTCCCAAGCAGCATTAAGCGTGCTGTGAAGGGAAAGGTAATCTAGATTATTTTGGACCGAGAGGCATACATTTTAGAAATTACTAACAGAAGCTCTCTTAAGAAGGATAGGAAGTTATTTTCAAGGACAGTGGAGACTATAATCTTGCCAAATATTCCCTAGATAATGCCCCACCAACTCCTCCTGCTGCTTCTATCATGCTTCCTTTCCACATATGTTCTCATGACAGCATCATTACAAACTAGCAGTGCACATCTGAAGCTGCATAATTTTAATGTTTCCTTGGCCAGACATCTGGAGGAGATGTGACAACTGCCGATCTTGTGGCATATGTGCTTAACATGGCATGGATCAGTCACACGTCATACACTTACATTGCAGAATGGACGCTCCATCCCAGCGTCAGCGGCAGCCTAGTGCTTTCCGTACAGTGTGAAAGCAGGGTTAAGTATCTTGGAATAACCACCTGCTGCCCGACTTTATGGTTGAGAGACAATGCTACATTGAAGCTGTATCGTTTCAGATGAAGAATCAGGACCCTGAGAGATAGGAGAGAAGGACAAATGTTAATCTCAAGACAGAAGTCAGAGAAAACCTATTCAAAATCCAAGTACCCCTGTTTACAAAATGCATTCACCTGACTCTAAAACAGATTATTACTTCAGGATGGTAG